GCTGTCTTAAAACATTCGAAGGTCATGAAAGTTCAGTACTGAAAATAGAATTTTTAAGTAAAGGTCAGCAGATTATATCAAGTGGTGCAGACGGTCTTTTAAAACTCTGGAATATAAAAACATCTGAAAGTAAAATGTCTTTGGATAACCATGATGGTAAAGTATGGTCTATGACAGTCAATAAAAATGAATCTCTTATAATAACAGGAGGCTCTGATTCAAAATTAGTAAAACTAAAAGACGTGACAGTTGAACGCCGCGAGAAATTAGCCAAAGAAAGAGAAGAGTTAATTCTACAGGAGCAAGAATTACAAAATTTATTACATGATAAGAAACTGGTAAAAGCCTTGAAATTGGCTTTAAGAATGGAAAGGCCCTTACATGTCCTTAAAATAATTAATGAAGTATTAAAACATGGACATAATAAGCTTTTTGAAACACTAAAAGAAATAAATCACACACAAAAAGAAACACTATTAAGGTTCGCTGTAGAATGGAATACGAATAATAAAAATTGTCACGCGGCTCAAATAGTATTCAATATACTGACTCCAGAAATTATTTCCGGTAATCTAAAAGTGGCTAACTTAGAAAGTTTTATTGAAGCATCACTCCCGTACACTGAGCGTCACTTCGAAAGACTAACAAATTTATTACAAGATTTAAATTTTATAACATACACCGTTAATTGCATGCAACCACATGCAGTTAAATATTAAAATTTAAAAACGAACATGGAGTTTTCTTTATCTACGTATCAAGTTCTATAGACTCAAGTTATCTGGTATACGTTACTAATGACGCACGTAATTGTTTAAAATTCAATTAAGCTACTGTGCTAATTTATCCGTTATTATATGTAAAAGCTCTAGCAATGCAAACATCGCACGCGCAACCTCCAGCTAAGTGGTACGGAAAAACAGTTTCCCTCATTGCTCTGTCCACAGCTCAGTAGTGGTGCAACAGTCGCGCGGCGGAGACGTCCTTTGGACATCTAACGCGAGTTAAAACCGCGTTGTTATGTTAGAATCTTCAAAATGAGCTTTAAAACTTTCTTTATATGTGTGTTGATAGTATTTACATTAAATAATGTGTCAGGACAAAAGGCAACGTAAGTTTTATTTGTTATTTTTATGTTAGACATTTTTTTCTTGTGTTTACAGTTTTGTTTAGGCCAGTGAATTTACAGATTGTCGATTTTGTTGATTTATTTAAAATAAGCCATCTGAAAGATGCATCTATGAACTTTTATTGCAGAATAACTTTTATATTCCGTCAATATTCTTATTCGATACCAATCTTTAACTTCGAAAGACATGAAACTATCAATGTAAACAATAGGTTGTAGACATACTATATATGTGTGCAAGATGAATTAGGAACCTTATCGACGTATTATTCATTCATAACAGATCACACCAATAGACAAATATATCGAACGTTTTATATTTACACCTGATATTACAGCTGTAACTTCTTTCAATGAAACGAAGAATGAAAAAACGTCATACTGAAAAACAGGTTTTAACTGAAAGTATGAAAAAGCGATATAAAGTAACAGATTACAGTGAGGTAGGTTATTTTTTGGATAGAACATTTTCAATGAAAGCTGGATCTCAGTATCACGCTTTATTCATAATTCCTGATTTTTTTTTCTTACTCTTATAGACGTATTCATAATGTAGATTCCGGAAATATTGTAGATCAGTTCGTACAACCATTTTCTGAAACTACCTACACCGCGTATATATGAGCCAAATATTATGCGCGGTTTACACTTGGCCAATACAGTTGGTCAGTAGCACTCTGATTGAACCGTCAATTTACTGGCAGACTGTGAACGCTAAGAGGCGCCAACGAGTGTCGTTTGCCGTCGCAATTGTCGAACTGTATTGGCCTAGTGTGAACCGGACATGATAGAAGTATAGGATACCCTGCAAAATTTAGCCGTCATGCTGTCCTGTGAAATATGATAATTTTCAGAATATCCCATTGAATTTATTACTATCGTATCCATATTAAATATTTGCTTATATCTCCGAAACTGTATGCATTTTGAAATCGGCACTAATGAGTAGAACTAATGCGTCCATTTATACTAATTACGTACTAAATTATGGTACGTTAACTTATCGATGACTATAATTTTGTTTGTTAAACGAAACGATGCAAAGTAGCCGTAGACTATTATTAATTACAAATTTATTTTAGTAAAAATTTAACTATCTTCGTAATTATCAAGAAGAGTATGTTGAGATACCATTTGTTATCAACATTCTCTTAATCGATACCGTATTTAAAATGTGAAGTCATATATACTTTCTTTAGAGATGTCGATTTAATGTTTTAAATAATTAAAGAGAATCAAGATTACGATCTAATTGTCACGTACATTATTATATCTATTAGTATATGTTATTTGTATTCGTTAATTTAATTAACAACAAACCATTGCGCGTATGTCTACAATGTCGTGTTATTTGTTGCCGTTGAAGCAAAGATTTTGTCGTGCACGTTAATGTTGATCTTAGGTTTGAGTAAAGATTTCGTGGCCACAACGTCTATACAACTTATTAGCGGATTTCTAATAAAAAATCTTAATATACATTTTACTAATTATTACCTAAACCTGAGGCGAAATGGTTAAAAATACTGTCATGCGAGAGCTTTGGATTCGATATCTGCTCAAATATAAAGTTTAAAAAGTTTTGTTTCTATTATTTATATTCTTGATACTATTTAGATGTAGACACTTGTTCGCGACTTCGTCCACGTGACTAAAAAATATAGCCTATATTACTTGGGGATAACGTAGTTTTCTAACAGTGAAAGATTTTTTTAAATCATCCCATTAGTTTTTGTGTTATTTCAATACATACAGAAATACAAATCTTTCCCCTTTATAATATTAGTATAGATTACATAAAATTACTATTACGTAACTTTAGTAACTATTGAAGTAAATAAATATTTCGTCTCAATAAGACTGTATGTGTAGCCAACAAGATTCTGCCGCCAATAAGTTTTTTTTTTAATTGATAGGTATCCAGCTTTACTTAGATAGTGCCACCCTGTCTGTAGGCTTCCTTTAAACACATTATTAGATATATTTCACCGTACCTTTATTAAATAACATGAGTACTTTTCGTCTCTCTTTGTTGTTCTTTAAATCAAAAGCGTTGCAATTCTGCAATCAACATTTTTAAGGTTTACAGTCTTTATGAAGATTATATCTTTCATTTGCATGTCTACAATTAACGTTTGAGGCATTTTATCCATGGATTAATTAAGTCGTGAGTTTACCTCCTTATCTTTAGTGAGATGGACTAATCTTTTGTGATAGCATTAACTAACACGCCATCGTCACAATACATCATAAAGCTGTCTCTAATGTCCAAAAATTAGTTTACCTTCGGAACAGGAATGTAAATCATTCTCGTGAAATTTCATTAACATTAATTTTAAAAGTGTATAAAAGTCAAGCAAAATTATATCTCCTTACAAATAACTTATTTGAGAAATGTCCTTTCGCCATCGCCTACGTTAAAATCTCTGGTCAATTTTTATACTTCCTTTATTGTTTCCCAAAACATTGTATTTTTTGTGTCATTGTCACTTTGCCAATTAACATTATCAAATAAATTAAGTTGGTACTTTTTGGATGCGTATTTTGTTAATTGCAGGTTGACTCATTAAAAGTGTAATTCTGATAGTATTATTAGCTAATCCCGATTTGTAGCTTCTTGTTACTTGTACACATTTGTTTCGGGACATATTCTTCACGAGTTATCGACCGCGACTCCGTTCGTGTAGAATTAAAAAAAACAAACGTGAGTAGTCTGTGTGTTCTTCATGACTATCCTCAACCTCTATGCCAAATTTCATCGGAATCCGTTCAGACGTTTAGACTACAAACTCTAACAAACATCTATCCATCTAAACTTTCGCATTTATAATATTGGTAAGATTATGTATTACTATTAAGTTGTAGTTGATCATCATATAGTCAGCAGTAGAATATATTAATAGTGTCCCGATAGTATTCTATATGCGTTTTACAACTACGACTAACAATATCTAATATGGTTAATTTTTCCTCAATTATTACACTCCTTATGCATATTAACATATAGAAAAGATGCATATCGTTTACCCTTAATATAAATATATTCGATAATCGTTTAAAGAATATAAGTGAAGAATTATAGCGAACTGACTGATAAAAAGTGTTGAGTACGTCTGCGGACACGGTCCGATAATTTGCCATGACCGTGCATTAGCATTGTCTAAGAATTCCGTGTTTCGGATAAATGGGCAACAACTTATTCGTTACCCGATCTGTAATATAGGTCACAAGAGATGTTTATCAATTAGTAAATAACTAATAATTTGATTATGTGACTTTCACTTTCGAGGCAGATGTAATCTTACCTTACTAGTAATTATAAATGTGAAAGTTTAGATGTATGGATGAATGTTTGTTACAGTTTGTAACCTAAACTGCTAAACGGACGGATAAATTTGGCATACATGTGTCTGGAAGAACACATAGGCTACTTGTTTTTTTTTTTAATACATGCGAACGGATTCGCGGGCGAAAGCTAGTTAAAAATATTATCATCTGTTGTATGTAAATGGGCGTCTCCAACCGATGATGTAGGCTATGTCTAGTGCAGTTGCATCCCCCTTACTTATCTGGCTACGCCCATACATACATGCACATGTATGTTTAAGTATAAGTGATGTGGCAGTTTAATTTCATTAAAAATTTTCTTCACAATTTTACAATTAACGTTTCCTTTTTGTTGAATTCGTCAACTAGCCTAAAAAAGTAACTACATTGTATCACGGCCGCTGGGATCGATAACACTTTTAAAAAACATTAGCTGTGCAAATAAAAATAAAACTACTATCAAATATTGTATTATACATTGAATAAAGTCAATGAAATAACAGCCTCCAGCCACGCCTAGTTCTCAAATGATACTTACCTATGAATCTCATACTTACCTATATGAAACTATTTATGAATATTTAGGCATATTATATTAATTGTATTACGTCATATCAAATCCTAGCGTCTACGTTGACGTATTCTAACACCGAGGACCAGTTTTAACGTCCGTGAAAAGCCAGCTAAGATGCTGAGATCAGTAAAAGAGTTGAATTATTTAACTAGTTACAAAGTTTTTGTTTACGCCGGTAATCGTGATTTATAGTGGGAAAATACATTGTTTTTTAATATTACATGATTAAGTTGTTTTGTAATTATGGCTTGAATTTGATAAATAGATTAGCAAAAAAATGAGTTTACATGATAGTTAAACTAGCTAGTTTATTCGCTCGCGACTTCGTTCACATGAAATTAAAATAAATTAAAAAAGTGAATCAGCGATAACGTAGCTTTTTATGGGTGAAAGAATTTTTGAAATCGTCCTAATAGTTTTTGAGTTATTTCAAAACATACAAAAATACAAATCTTTACGCTTTATTAGTATAGATAAAATAATTATTTTACTATTTAGGTGTCGCCTCTTAGAATGACAATTATTGATACTGAAGGAAATGAAACCGGGTCATTTAACATATCAGGCGAGTTCCGATTCAAGTGATTTGTCTCTTCAGTTTTCTACGAAACCTTGATGACACTTGAGCACTATAATAACCACTTTAAATTAGTTAAATTGTATCGGTTTCCCTTTTGATAGCTGCCAAGGAGCCGCGATCGGATGGCGCCCTCGATATCATTATCTCGTATCGGCCTTTTAACAGAATTTTCAATTAATTAAAAAGCATTTGTGGGTGTAAACTATTCTAGAAAAACTACTTAAAGTAACTACTAACCGTCAAAATCTAAATGAGCACAATACTAAAGGAAGTAAATGAAAAGATAAAGAAAAAGATAGCTTTATTTCCCTTATAAGAAAACACATTTTTTACATATTTACACGTATACTAAAAACTATCAAAATGTGAAAAAATTATCTGACATAGAATGACAACAAAAAATGTTGTAAAAATAAGAAATGTATATATGTAGTTGTTAGTACGGTTAGTTTGTTAGTCATATTCTGTATAAGGGCCGACTGTCGCGGTAAAAGCCTCCTCCAG